AGCGAGGAAATTTCATGACTGGACTTGTTGCACAGGTGGCATCCTATCACGGCACCACACTGGAATTCACAGAGCTCCTGAGAGTGACCCATTCTTTCGCTAATGTTTGTAGAAGCAGTCTGCATTGTTCTTTTTCTCCTCTTCATGCACTTTTATTTGCTTGTTCTTACCCCTGACTCTCCCATCTGTGCATATCCTGATAACTAATGCTCTCTGAAACAGAAAACAGGTTATTGTTTCAGAGCCACAGATGTCATAACATACTTTGCATGAAGTGCTGTCAACATATGGTCAATAGCTATGTGACCCATTGTCCCTTAATTTCACCATTAGACATGTACAATATTTTAACATTGCCATTTTATATTGTTTAGGAAACCTAGAGATCCATATTTTTCAAATGTTTTTATTTAATGCATCCACATATTAAGAGGATGTCCATATACAGCACTAATGAACCATGACTATTACAGCTAGGCCATTAGTTCAGGGCATAAATGATAAAACTTGGTCAAAACTAGAAAGAAAACTCTACAGTAATGATTATTTCTGTTAGTGCACCTGCAATGGGATTCTATTAGTATGTTTCCACTAAGATGACATCAATTTACATGAACATTTGTTGGGTGTTCTATATTAAACACTTTTCAGGCACTCACACACTTTTCACTAAAGCGCCCTGGTACAACTGTTTTCCGATCTGATCTGAGGTTCCCCACCGATAAACAAGCTGTCTTTTTGCACACGGAAATACCAGTGCTATGTTTGTTTAAGGAAAGTCCCCATATTTTGCATGTGTTTACACTCAGTGTGGACAAAGAGGTGTCTATGACATCATCATTTGCAAATATACTGAGTGTCTACTAATCAACATATTTAAAGTGAGGTGGATGGTGAAAACTTTTATGTGTACATTTTACCTCAGAATCTGGTTGCAATCAAAAGTCTGTTCAACTATTACATTCCTTTTGAGTTTTTTGCTCAACGTTAATTAAGAACCAAATGCTGATCAGTTGGTCTCTTGTATGAAACACATAGGTTTATGTTACTGGACTATTCAATCTTTTTGTTCACACTTTTTTGATGGTTCACTATGATTCAGAGACTGGTTTCTCCAAGTTTATTAGAACTAGATTCAGGATTTTAGTTAGAGAGACATCAACAAAATTATTGACAGCTTTTGAATCGAAAAGCTTTGAACCTTTTTTTGGACTCTTGCCCCTATGATAGGGCCACCGTGAGAAAGCACCCAGTCCTCTTGGGAGGTTGTGCTAAGTCCATTACAGATCCCCCTTTCTACCATAGACCCCGGCTCTTCCCTTACTTGGAAATGGTCAGGTTGCCCACAGTAGAGCCACCACCCCTCTCACATACAAGCCTCTCACTCTGTCAAGAAAGACAGGTGGCCCAACTTCATAGGTTGCTCAGGCAACTCAGGGGGTGCAGGAAACAGGGGAGTGTTCTGAGATGGGTTCCTACTGCAACGACCCCCGGCTTCCGTTCCAGGTGTTCCATTCGCAGATGGTTGTGTAACTTAAGAGCCTGCTTGATGAGTTCTTTGAGAGATTCCAGGCTGTCTCGGGTGACCAAATCACTATTCAGTTTGTTACTAAGGTTAGGTTGAAACATGGCCATTAGGGCCTTAGCATCTCACCTGCTCTCAGCAGCAGGGGAATAGAAATCAATAGCATATTCCATAATTGAGCACTTTCTCTTCCTGAGGCAGAGATATTTCTCCACAAAATGGGTGATTGAAGGTATGCTGCATGGGTGCCATAAACAGCTCTGAGGAGGAACATGTGATGGCCTTATTTTCCCACCCAGAAGTAGCTATGGCAAGCGCTTGACCAGATGATGAATGCTACTTTAGAGCGTTCAGTGGGAAATCTCAAGGGCTGTTGCCAGATTCAGCTTCATAACTCAAACATCAAGCTGATGGGATCTCAGGAAAGGGGTATCCAAAAGAGCTGGAGTCTTCACCAGTTGGACTTGGACATTGGGCTTGCCAGATTTATTGTCCACTGAGAACAACTACTGTTAAAAAAAATATGTTTTCTTTCCTTTAAGCGATATCACTGCACATTAACTAAAGCAATTTAAAAATAAGTAAATAAATAACTAATCATATAAATCAACACAACACCTACGCTTACTCCTAAACCTAACCCTAACCCTTAGAAAGTGTCATAAAATGCTGTTCAAACCACGAGAACAGAGCATAAGTGGCTGTCGCAAAAGCAACCCTTTAGCATTCTGTTTAACAATGAGTAACAACTAAAAACAAAGGAAAATAAACAGAAAACTAGAAATTCAAACAAAATAAACCAGTTCCCAACACTGCTGGAAACCAAATAATACCTGCTCTGCGGTGGTCCTATGGGGGTCTTGACTTTTGAAGCACAATAAAAGGGGGCTAACAAATTATGCACAAAAATCTGTAACTGTAGAACAAAAAAGTGCATCTATATGCTAAGTTGAGCTAATACCATGGACAAAGAGTACAGATATATTAAGGTGTACTTCATGAAGTGGCCATTCAGTGTATGTTTCAAGGATATTGAAGGAAAAATCAGAACATCAAAATAACGCATGTGGACTTACTTATTGTGAATTGTTTTAGACTGTCATGGTGATGAGAACCATGAGTGCCACGAGTAGTGGCAGAAGTCTCTTGACTGAGCATTAAATGGCAGTGAGCGCCACGGGTAGCATATGTAGGTTATGACCATTAGGCTGCCACAAGAAGCCTTGTGCAGACTCATTTCCTACTCCTTCGTCAACATATGCACTGGACTCACCTTTAATCAAAGTACAATCATCTGATAGGTGCTAATTTGTTTACCCTCATTGAAAATAGATGCTGAGCCAGGACCTATGCTAATTACATGACATTCCATCATTGCACTATTATAAAGAACTGCTCTCTCAACTATTGAACACATACATGTTTTTATTCATTAAAGCCATTTATCTGGGCAACAAATATGGTTTTTCTTGACACCATTAAATATTACAATGAACCCAAACTTGCATTAATGCAGTAAAACCCTACTCTGGTCCTCTGTTGCCTGAGGGCATTGTTTCAGTTTTTGCATATCTTCCTAAATTCACCTTTAAAGCCACTTCAGCAACTTCAGCATCTGTAAACTCTTAAAATGTGTCACAGATGTGGACTAAATGAAGAATGATGGGTTTCTGGCTCGATGGGTCAGTCCTTAGTGATTTCCTGTTCAGTAATCAATTGCACACAAAATGTAGACAGACACATGAATCCACCAATTACACTTATTACTCTGGATATAAGACACATTCTCATGAGTAGATGGAATCAAAAAGACAGATTCTACAGATTCCACAGGAAATGTTTTAACTATATTTCTGCGCTATATTATCAACATACAGAAACATCGAATTTGACGCACAGGTGACTTTGTTGACCTCAGAGGCCTATAAAGGAAACAGTGCTAACACTCATCTCTGATAATGAGGTGCTTTTTTTGTTTTGAAAATTAACATGGGTCATTTTGCATGAATTTGTAATGCGAAGAGATTTACATATCCTCTTCACTGGTCAAATAAATACATTTACTGCCACTGTCGCTGATGATGGGAACAATACAATAATGAATGATGAAACAATACAAGACTGTCATGGCATCTGTCTGGGAATACACGTAGAAGAGCTGGAGCCTGAAGGTATAAAGAGGTGAGATACTGTATGTGAACACAACGTGAGTTGGAGAGGGGCAGAACCGCATCACAGGGGAGAAATTATATACATTGGAGAAAGAAGAACATTTTCCTGTAGGATTCTTTATCATTCACATTAGTAGGGAGTAGAGCTCTTCTAAGTCGTTCTGTTTTCAATGATATTTGTGAAATTTGATTAACATCTTAAGTTTGATCTAAACATCTGGGTGATGAAATACATTTGTCTCTCAGAAATGGATCAGAAATGGACTTCAGTCTTCTTCCTTCTCTCAGGTCAGTGTGCACTTCATTTCAATTAAGAAATCCATTTACTCTAATAGTTTGCATGTCTGTACAGATTAAGGGAACTAAAAAGATGTTTAACACTTTTTTATTTTTAAAATTAGTTTTAGAATCAAACCTATTGAGAATTGCTATAGAGACTTAAGGTGATATCCAGACATTAAATACATTATGTAGAGAAAAGTATTGGGACACACCTCCTAATTATCAACTTAAGGTGTTTTAGCACATAGCCTTGGAGTCTCGATAGACAAACACTGGCAGTAGAACGGGTGATACCGATGAGCTCTGTGACTTTAAACACGGCACTGTCATAAGTCAGATTGTGAAATTTCTGTCCTGCTAGATCTGTCCCTGTCCACTATAAGTGCTGTTATTGTGAAATGGAAGAACCTAGGAGCAACAACAGCTCAGCCCCAAAGCAATGGACCATGCAAAATCACTGGCGAGTGGGGCTGGCGAGTGCTGAAGTGCGTAATACCTATCCTCTGTTGAGTCACTCACTAAAGAGTTATGGTTAGGGTCAGAAGAGTGGAAGCAACATCCGCAAAAGAACTGTGCATCCATCGCCAAGCAGCTACACATAAGTCGAAGATCAAAATGCACAATCTTGGGTTTGGTGAATGCCAGCAGAATGTTACTTGCCTGACTGCACTGTGCCCACTGTAAAGCTTGGTGGAGGAGGGATAATGCTATGGGGTTGTTTTTCAGGGGTTGGCCTAGAACATAAACATATATAGAAACATCAAATTTGATGCTCAGGAGACTTTGTTGACCCAAGAGGCCTACAAAGGAAACAGTGATAACATTCATCTCTGATAATGAGGTGCTATTTGTTATGAAAATCAACCTTGGTCATTTTGCATCTGTGTCATGCAAAGAGCTGGTCAAAACATTTACTGGAACTGCCACAGTCCCTGCTGATGGGAACAATACAATAATGAATGATGAAACAATACAAGACTGTCATGGCATCTGTCTGGGAATACACGTAGAAGAGCTGGAGCCTGAAGGTATAAAGAGATGAGATACTGTATATGAACACAATGTGAGTTGGAGAGGGGCAGAAACGCATCACGGGGGAGAAATTATATACATTGGAGAAAGAAGAACATTTTCCTGTAGGATTCTTTATCATTCACATTTATAGCGTGAGGAAAGCTCTTCTAAGTCGTTCTGTTTTCCTTACATGATGTAACTGTTATGGTGCGCCAAAGTTGTGAAATTAGAATAACATCTCAAGTTTGATCTAAACATCTGAGTGATGAAATACACTTGTCTCTCAGAAATGGATCAGAAATGGATTTCAGTCTTCTTCCTTCTCTCAGGTCAGTGTGCACTTTGTCTCTACTAAGAGATTACTTTATTCTAACTAGAAACCAATGAATGTGTCTGGAAGATGGTTCCTTATAGCTGTCTTCTTCAGCCAGTATCTACTTCTTATCATTTATGTGTTTATGGACAACACCTGTAAGAGATGCTTGTGTGTTTGTATTGTAGGTGTTTCAGGTGTAAGTTTGCATAGGAGCATTTTGAGCAGTGCCTAATTATTTGTGTAAATATATATTGCTTATGTTGGAACAAAACTTCATATCTCCAAAATGATAACTTTACAGGAGAAAAAAAAACTTACTTTTAATGTAAGTCAATGGAACCATTCATTTTTTTCCCAGGTCATTTTGGGCTATTTCTTTTGGTCTATTAATCATGAAATATATGGTCAAATTAAAGAGCAACAAGCATTTTCAAATTATGTCAAAACCTGACAAGCAAAAAAATGGAGATACAAGGTTTTATCCTAACAGGGGACAAAAAAGTATTTCTACAAGACATACACCTTATGAAACACAAGCTCTGCTGAATGTAAATAAAAACAAAATGCAATGATATGCAAATCATTTAAACCCTGTATTTCACTGAAAATAGTACAAAGACAACATATCAAATGTTGAAAATGAGATATTGTATTGTTTTTCGAAAAATGTATGCCAATTTTGAATTTGATGCCAACAACACGTTCCAAAAAAGTTGGGACAGGGGCAACTAAAGGCTGGTAAAGTTGTGTAATGCTAAAAAAAAATAAATAAAAAAAAAAAACTAATGGTTATTTGTCAACAGGACATTAAGATGAGTGGGTATAAAAAGGGCATCTCAGAGAGGCTGAGTCTTTCAGAAGTAAAGATGGGGAGGGGGTCACCACTCTGTGAAAGACTACACAATCAAATAGTGCAACAATTCATGAATAACATTTCTCAACCCAAAATAGCAAAGAACTTTTGTGTTTCATCATCTATGGTACATAATATAATTAAAAGATTCAGAGAATCTAGAGAAATCTCTGTATGCAAGGGACACGGCCAAAAAACAGTATTTGCTGGCTATGGTCTTTGGGACCTCAGGCGGTACTGCATTAAAAACAGACATGATTCTGCAGTGGAAATCACTGCATGGACTCTTCTGAAACACTTCTGAAAACCACTGTCTGTAAAATCAGTTTATCACTACATCCACAAATGCAAGTTAAAAATCTAAAACACAAAGAAAAGAACATATATAAACAGGACCCAGAAATGCTGCCACCTTCTCTGGGCCCGAGCTCATTTAAATCATGGACACTGTGTCCTCCGGGCTAAAGACCACTCATCTTGTTATCAGTGCACAGTTCAAAAGCCAGTATTCAGGATGATATAGGGGGCATTTGTTCACATGGCATGGGTGACGTGCACATCTGTGAAGGCACCATTAATGCTGAATGATATATACATGTTTTGTCAACATATGCTGCCATCCAGATGACGTCTTTTTCAAGTAAGGCCTTGATTATTTCAGCAAGACAATGCATGTATTACAACAGCATGGCTCGTGCTAAAGTGACATGCCTGCAGTCCAGATCTGTCACCTATTGAAAATATTTTTAAATGAAAACTACAACAAATGAGACCCTGAGCTGATATCAACTATAGCAATTGGTCTCCTCAGTTCCCAAACACTTACAGAGTGTTGTTAAAAGAAAAGGTGATGAAACACTGTGGCAAACATGTCCCCGTCCCAACATTTTTGGAATGTGTTGTTGGCATCGAATTCAAAATGGGCAGATGTTCTTCAAAAAACAATATAATTTCTCAGTTTATATGTTGTCTTTGTAGTATTTTCCTTTAAAAATATGGTTTAGGGCTCCCGAGTGGCGCAACCGTCTAAGCGTTGGCCCTATCATCAGGAGATCGCGAGTTCGATCTCTGGTGATGCTACAGCCATCCGTAGCCGGGAGTCCGAGAGAGCACAATGGGCCTTGCTCTCTCTGAGTGGGTAGGATGGTCCCTCCCTCTCCCCCCATCACTCAGCGCAATGCTAGTCAGCGCAGGCGTCTGTTAGCTGACGTAACAGATCTGGCGGTTGGCGCTTTCCTCCGAGCGCGTTCGGCTGTCCAATAATGTTGCATGAGTGGCAGTTCGAAAAGAAGTGGTGGTGCTTCACAGGTCTCGGAGGAAGCCTGTGTTAGCCTTCGCCCTCCTAGCGTTCATAGCATCGTGTGATTGGGGGAGTCCTAACTAGCGGGTGGAATTGGAGACGACTAAATTGGGGAGAAAATTGGGTAAAAAAAAAAAAATGGTTTAGATGATTTTTATATCACTACATTCTATTTTTATTTACTTCTGCACAGCATCCCAACATTTTTGAAAATGGATTTGTATATTCATAAGGACCATTTACTAAGCAGTATGCAAAACCTGCAGCTTGTTCCAGTTTGGTCTTGATTTACTACGACCTGCTGTTGAAATGACGTTAATCACAAATTGGCTAATTTGAATACTGGACGTGCTAAAACACAGATTCAAACAGAATGTGTTTGACTGGCTATAAACAGAAAATGAAGTCAATAAATACAAATAAACCTTCACAAACATATGTAGATGAACTAAATGAAAATCAAGGTGACCATGTGTTTGGAATGGAAGGTCCCTCACAAACACAAAATGCCTTGCAATTTTTTTGTCTTTGCATTCAAAATCTTCTATAATATTTATTGCTCTTTTATGCTTTTTAAGTTTATGAATTTCAATTGCTTTATCATGGTATGCTGTTGTTGATGAAATCTACAGACAATAAGTAGAATGAAAACATGAAAAGTTTTTCTTATTTTCCCAACTATTCGGTGCCTCCCAATTCAAATACTACTGTACCTATTATGAATTTATAACGTTTACCTTTTTTTAAAACTAAACTAGTCTTTCTAACATGAATAGTGTACTTTGGGTGAAAATATACTTTATTGCACATATTTTATTAAACAGATATAATTTTTTTTTTTCTAGTTGGCAGTATGTAATTAACACAGCACAAACTATTTAGCACACAGACTCAATTCCTACCTATTTTTACATTTTCATAAATTTTTATATGTAAAAAAAATACATATTTTAGTTAAAAGTTGTACATTTTCCATCTTCTTTGGGGAAATCCTGAGACAGTTTAAGACAATTTCAAATGCCATTGATGATGTTGTAATGGCCTTGCATTTGATTGGCTGTGCTTGTTTATTATTTTTTTTTCTGCACTCTGCTTTCCCTTTCAGCCTTGCTATGGCTGCATAACCTCCTCACTTCTCTTTGTTCATTCCTTTTCTCATCATTTTTAAACTTGAACTCATCAAAACCTCATGTTTTCTGCTTTAATTCTTTCTTTTTATTTCCTTGATTCCTTCTATTATTTGTCTTACTTCCTTTTTTGCTGTCATTCTTTTTTTTACTTTTGTATTCTGTGACTCAACTCATTCTTACAAGTAGTATTTTATGATCATTTCTTGCATTGTGCACATCGTATTTCTAGTTGTCTAAACTGATTATAAAAAACAACATACATACATACATGCATACATACATACATACAGACATTAACCTTTCTTTTGGAAGAGTTAAGGATTTTTTCATATTTTTTCATAGCAATACTGATGTGTGCCACAGAAAAATGCCTGACTTGGCAAATGATGTCATATTAAAAGCATTAAGTTACTGTGACATACACTAACATACACCTGTGTCTTCACCCCAGAAAGTGTCATGACACAAACAAATTGTAAACTTGACATCAAAATTAGGAAATACAAGCTTATATCTAAAGCATTGGTCCTACTTCATATTGTGTCTCTAATTACTGTTTAGTTACATGTTAATAATAAATGCAATTACAATGTGACCACAGTGATTTATTCACTGTAACAGACCGATTACAGTAGTACAGTTTATTTATATACATGTGTATCAATTTCAGTTTTTAATGTAGATAACTGCACCTATTATTACAATCAGAAAAGTCTTTTGGAAAAAAAAAAGTGTGTAATTACATAAGAGAAAATATGCTATTACAACTTTCAAGATGGATGGACACATTTCAACTTGAGAAGTAGAAATGTGTTCATTTACATGAACTGAACTACAGTAATCCATGAAAACATCACAAGTAGTTAGAATATCATTGCATATATTGTTAATGTGTAATGACACAGTTATTAGAGACACTTGATATAATGTAGGACTAATGCTTATGTAGGTTTATGTCCATTGTCCAAAGGGGGTTTATGTATGTTTCCTGTAATTTAGTAGAAGTCCGTGTCTTGTAGTGTAGTCTGATCTGCAGCATTCTGTTATGGGGATATATCAATTAATTTAATATGTCATTAAACTTATCTGCATGTCAGTGCATACATGTATTCTTAATGTGGGAGATCCACTGAAACAGTTTCTGGATTCAGTTTGGGAGGAGTTTGGATCCAGATCTAGCTTGTTTTGGCACAAATCATCCCTGATTTGACCTTTTCTGTGTCGCTCCATTGAAATTGATCTTAAAAATCTTTCGTCTTTCTCATGTTACTCACAGCTATCTATGGTCTGTCTGCATACGTTCCTCATCGGTATCACTTTGTGAATGAGAGTAAAACCTGGACTGAAGCTCAGAGCTACTGCAGACAGACCTACACTGATCTGGCCACCATCAACAACATGGAGGAGATGAAGAAGCTGAATGACACTGTGCAAGATAAATCTGTTAGGGTCTGGATCGGCCTAGAAAAAGTGACCTGGCAGTGGTCTCTGCAAGATGCAACAGTCTACAGAGAAAGACAGTCATACAGTAACTGGACTGCGGGAGAACCAAACAGTAATGCTAAAAAGGAGATGTGTGTGCAGCTGAATGGAGATGGAAGCTGGAATGATGACGACTGTAGCCGTTTATTTCCTTTTGTGTGTTTTGAAGGTAGGAACTTGGAAATGATGACTAATAAGGACATATGGATTACACTGTAAAAAAAAATGGTTGTCAGTTCAACCTATTG